GGAGCGGGGCGGAGCTGGGGCAGCGCGGGGAGCAGATGGGGTCCGGGGGGGGGGAGCGAGGGGCGAAATCTGGGGAAGTCGGAGGGAAGTTAACATAGGATTCATGAAAACCTAACAAAACAAATTGTTAGGTTTGCACGAAATCTATTCAAGGTTATGATAGTACGTTTTTCAGGTCTCCTCCACGAACAAAATTCTACGTGAAGTGAAATATCCGCAAAAAAAAAAACAGAAAATTAAATTTTCAGAACTATTGGAGGGGGCGAGGAAAAAATAGGGTTTTTTCATAGAAAATCATGACCTGGTGAAGCACCGAAGGTTCAAAAACTGAAATATCCTGATTTTTTGTTATAAAAAAAAAATGTGTTTATAGTCCTATAAGATGTGTAGCACAATGAATTTATTCGGGGTTTTTTCGAATGCGTAAACATATTCTCCTGTTTGTGAATACGTTCGCTTGAACATGGTTTCCCACACATGGGCGAATATATTATTTTTTATTGTTTGTTTTAATTTTTTTCCCTATATTTTTATTTTAAACTCGTGTTTGGCTAAGAATTTCAAGGTGTCTCCGAGGCAAAAGTTGTTTGTATTCTTATTTTAAATAACATATATTTTTTTATAAGGGTTTAATTGTTAAAATCAAAAGTGATTTATAGTCCTATAAATTATTTTGTGCAGAGTTTGGCTTTTACCTAACTGCGAAAACTGACTTATAGTCCTATAAATGAGTATTCACCAAAACACTTTTTTTTTACATCTTTCAAGTTTGCCTTGTCATCCTTAAAAATTACCCTGTTTGAACTCTGTTTTTTTGCCAAGCTACTGAGAATGACTTATAGTCATATTAAAGCATTTTGCAAGGAGGGTTTTCTTGCACATTTTGAGGAACGCTAGACTTTTCACCTGATTTTTTGCCTCCTTTATCGCAAAACGATTATAAACGCTCTCATTTTGTGTAAAAAATAACAGCTTGACTTTTACTTTTTCATTCTATAAAAAATGTTGGGTTTTCTCCGATTGTGAGGTTTTCACGAATCCCCTGTTAGTAGGGGAAGGTCAGGGGGAAGAGAGAGAGAGAGAGAGAGAGAGAGAGAGAGAGAGAGAGAGAGAGAGAGAGAGAGAGAGTTTCTGTGTGTGTGTGTGTGT